GCTTTAGGAGGAGGAGTCATTTGGAGTGAGATATCCAGTTCTGCTTCAATACATTCAAGGTGATTTGGGTTAAGAATATCGGGATGTGGATTAAAGGTTTTAAAGAGGTGGTGAGCAAATATTTGGGATTTTTCTTCGTCGGATTTGGACCAGGTTCGGGCTTCAATGAGTAGTGGATGGTTACAGTCTTTAAATTTCAGGAGCCTTTTAGTGGTCGTCCATAGTGATTTATCGGTAGGTGTAAGTTTTTCAGTAAAATTTAGTAAATTTTGAATTTTGTATTTTCTTATTTCTGATTTCAGTTTGTTAGTCAGTTGGGTGTAATGCGCTTTATCTGTCGGGAATCTAGTTCGATGCCACTTCGATCTTACTCTGCGTTTTTCCTTTAATAAGATGCGAATATGCTGTGGCAAGTTAGTATTTTGTGGGTTGTTAATCTTATTGATAAAGGTATTATTATTTATTTTATTTTTTTTTTTTTTTTTTTTTTATTATTTTATACTGTCTGTTATTGATGATGTCAGTTTTTCTATGGCACCATTAATGTCTTCTTTTGTCTTTAGCGGAATTTTGAGGTCAAGTTTGTTTTCCAAATCATCACGAAATTTGTCCCAGTTTACTCGTCCAGTGATCAGTTTGGGAGGTGATGGTTTAGGAGCAAAGTCAGAATGTAATGAAAGCAGAACCGGACTATGGTCTGAAGAAAGGTCATCCAGGGATTTGATTATAGTTTGGGAGGAGGAAATCTGGGAGGTGATAAATATATCCAGGATATCGGGACGTTTTTTGAGGGATGTTGGCCAATAAGTAGGACTCATGGGCGAGAGGATTGAATAACTATTAGAAGATGAGAGACGGGAAAGGATGTTACCGCGGGAGTTGGATGTTCGACAACCCCACCGTTGGTGTTTAGCATTGTAATCTCCTCCAGCAATAAAGCGCGATCCGAGGGATTGGAACAACGTATCAAGGAGATTAAAGGAGAGGGAATTACCAGGAGGACAGTATACAGCTGAGACTGTGAAATGGAAAGGGCGAGTTGAAAGGATTAAAGAAGTTGATTGAATGGCGTCAGTTGGAGTGGAAGGAATAAGGGAATGGGGTAAAGATTTATGTATAAGGATGCAAGAACCGGCGTGGGCAGTGTTGTCTGGATGGTCAGATCTATAAGTGATGTAGTCTCGTATGTGAAAATGTGTCCGTTTTGTGAAATGCGTTTCAGTCAGTAGAGCTATATCAATGTGATTGTCATGAAGGAATATGTCAAGTTCGTCACGGTGGTTGTGTAGTCCGTTAGCATTCCATAAAAGGATAGTTAGGGGCTTTGTGCTCATCGAGGGAAATTAAACGGAATTTCGGTCAGGATTCTGGTTAGTAGAGTGATAAGAGGTTTTATGGTGTTTTGGAGGTCCAATAGGAAGGATGATAGAATGGAAGTTAGATCAGATGGATGTTGATTGTGAAGTGGATTTAGGATAGGTTCAGGTGGCGGGTAAGGAGTGTTAACTGAGAGTGGGATTCGTTGTTGTGTACGAGGTGGGACTGGATTCGACGATACTTGTGCTGGGTTTTTTTTCTGGGCATTAGGATGAGATGGGTGCGATTGCTGTGGCGGTAATTTGACTCGTAGAGGTAGATGATGAGGGGAATTTGCTGACGCGGAGGATGAAATATGAGAGGATTGGGAGTATGAGGTTTAGCTTGGGAGGCCTGAGGCGCCTGGCGTCGAGGCTGCTGCTTCTTGATGGTGGTATGGGTGCTAGTTTTGGTAGATTCCTGTTGAGGATGGGCGATTTCAGTTGAAGTAGTTGGTTCTTGTTGTGTTGAATGGGTAGTTTGTTTTGGCAACTCAGGAAAATTTGTAATATCAATTTCTGGTGGCTGGGTGTAAGTTTCTTTATTTAGTTGGCTGCACTTTAAGGCTATGTTATGAGTTCTTAACTTGTAGTATTTTTTATATACTATGCATCCTTTATAGCTTGCAGGATGGTCTTCGCCACAGAGAGCACATTTAGGAGGCTGGTCTCGAGGGATCTGACAAGTGTTAGATGCGTGTGGCCCGGCACATCTAACGCACCTCGCTTGATGATGGCAATAGGTCTTTGTGTGCCCCAAGTCTTGACACTTGGAGCATTGAACTATGACAGGTTTTTGTCTAGGCTCTTCGAATTTTACTGTGGAATACACAAGCCTCTTAACTTGAAATATGTCAATGTTATTGCTTGCAGGCTCCAAATCAACGAAAAACAGTGGCAATGGATATTTTTGCGTTGGATGTAGGACGCATGCTATATGCCTAACGTTATGTCCTATTTCCTCTAGATCAGATTTGATAACGGATATGGGAGTGGTTGAGTGCAAGCCTCTCAATACCACCCGATATGCCTTTTCTTGTCTCAGTTGGTAACAGTGAAATTCATATTTTTTAGTTGTAAAATAATTTATCAGAGTTTTATAATTTTCTTTAGAGCTCGTGTTAATCTTAATGTCATTAACCCTAGAAAAACAGCGGAAACTGGTTTGTCCGATAAGATTGGCAATTTCTTGAACGAATGATATAAAATTTTCAATTTTAGAGACAAAAATAGGGGGCGGCTCGGGGTCAGTAAAACCTTGAGGTACCGGAGGCTTGTTAGGTGAGTTACTACCAAGATCAAAATTATTGCTGGCTGTGGTATTTGGTGCAGTTGGAGCTGTTTTTGTGGTGTTTGATTTGCTTCTAGTTCTGGGTGGTGATTTATTTTGCTCGGCAGGCTGTTTAGATTTATTTTGTTCAGCTGTCTGTTTAGATTTTGCTGATTTATTTTTCTTCTTGTTAGGCGAATTGCCACCTGACCCAGGGGCAGAGTTTCTGTGACGTTTTTGAAGCGAGCGTCTTTTCAGATATTGCGAATCAGTTTCGCTAACCTCGGAAAATGGTGTCTCGTCCTCTGAATCTTCACATGAAGATTTCTCGTCCAAATTCATATCTTCCATTATGATAAGAAGAGAAAAGAAAGAAAAAAATATATATATACCTAAATATTAAAACTACAAAATAAGAATTTACGATCTATTAAAAAGAAGAAAAAAAAAAAATTACAAACTCAGAAACAGAAATAAAACAAAACATTTCTGAGAATAAATAAACAAAGGAAAAAAATTAAATAAACTGTCTCTTGAGAAGAAGAAAAAAAAAAAAAAAAAAAAAAAGGAGTTCTACAAGTCTTTGGTTTCGTACTGAGATCAGCTGACGGAAGCGAGCTAGTATACAAACCTTGGCCGGGAACTTAACGTAAATAAGATAAGAAGCAAGGGAATTAACAGCCACATGGGCTATTCAAACGAGCACTAATTTATCACTTCATTGTTAATAAATTGTAACTCACCTCTTTATCCGTGAACTTAAAAATGTTCAACTGTTTATAATGTCACTGTTAATCAATTATTAACACAGAGTTTTGACTAATAAGCACATAGCAAAGTAATAATCACAGAGCGAACTGAAAACTAAACTGCTGTAGCGGCCATCAATTGGAAGTAAAAATCTACTAAAGAATTTACTAATATAATATATGTGTATACCTGTATATAGATATGTAAGTTTTTATAAGTATTAAAACTTTTTTGTCGAAAGTGTTTATTAAGACCACAAAATCTACTAAGGTTTTTTAAAAAAAAAATTCTTCGATGCAGTAAAACGAGTTATATTTAAAAAAATATAAAAATAAATATATAAGAAAATATCTATTCTTTAAAATTAATTAAAATATAAAGTATCTCATCATCTATCTCATTCGCTTCATTTCGTGGCTCCTTCTCGAGAAAGGTCAAGTATTTCCTCCGATTGCCTTTGAATGGTTTATATTAGATCAAATGATTCCAAACCCTTTTGGAGGAGTGTTTGCAAGGAACACTTAGGGAAGATTTACGGCTTAAATAAACTTAATATTTTGCTTCTTTATTTAGGAAGAAACTGAAACTTGTTATTGAGCCGAGTTCGAACAATTATAAAGAAGACTGGTGGGGCCAGAAAAGGTTCATTAATTAAGGGCAGATAAAATTAAGATCTCTCAATGATTTACTACCTGTCAAGATGTATTTTTCTAATAACTAGTCTTAAGGACGGGTTAAACCATTAAAATGGTTAAATATATTTAATAGGCACATTAATTTACTATAATGATATAAACATATTTGGTTAATTTGTAAATATGATAAACAATCTTATTAGGTTATTATTTTTTTTTTTGTGAGATTTTTACATAATAATTATATTTAATCAAAATATGATTAAGTTTGTACAAAAACTCCTTTTAATCTGTCTACCTTTATTTCACAATTAAAACATTTTTCATACAATAATTATAATTTAACGTTTCGGCTCTAAAAAGCCATTCTTTAGAAAAAAAATCTTCTTTCAAAAACAAAACAGTCATAAAAGCATATTTTATGTTAAAACATTTAATTATATTTTATATATAATACTACTCAAATATAGTAATTGTTTATTTATTTACACTTAATCACTAACTTATTAGTCTAGACTTCAGCTCTGCAGAAATAATATTAAGAAGGTGAAAACTATAGAAAATAAGGATAAGTAATGTTTTTATAGAATGAGGAAGAAAAAAGGTTTTGGAGAAGAAAATAAAAACAACATTATTTTATTTTAAATCATTTTAAATTATTTTTCGTTACTTGCCATAGTAGTAACAGGAAATGTAAAAGAAAGACGACAACAGAGAGCTTTATGAATCAAGGAGAGAGAAAATGGTGGACGGGAAGACAAAAACACAAGTTTATGGTAGTCTATATGAATTACGATTACGATCGGAAAGATCACTAATAAATAACCTTTAACATTATTCTATCTACGTTTTTACTCACTCTCAACAAGTGGCTGTATTAGAATAATAAAATTATTTTTTTTTTGGAGGGGAAGGTTTCCCGATATCTTATATTATCCAAGTTTTTATCATATATTAAAAAATTGGTCTTGCGCCACGTCCGACGCTCCCATGCATCGCTCAGGTTACCGTGCCGTTGTTGTTATACAGGTCATGGATGCACTCTAGGTGAATAATTGAGAATGAAATGGTGTGTGACGTTGTTGGCTTGGAATGGGTGGAAATTAATTTTATCAGATGCTTGAAACAGCATATCATTTTATCATTTTTTTTTTTATTTTATTGTAAGGGCGCACGCTACACGAGTATTGAATAGCATTCGATCGTTGACCGCAATATGGAGTCAACAGTTCCAGTTTTCTTCACAAAGGATGGTGATTACAATAATGTTCCTTTCAATTTTAAATATGAAGATATTTATTATGATATTTCCTATGTTAAAAGTGAAATGTAAACTGTTCGCTTCATTATTAAAATTATGTTAAATATTACATTCAATGGCACTTTAAAATTAGTAATTAGTTCATGAGCGGTTACGTTAAAAGTATTAAAAAAAATTGGGCCTAATGTAGATTGTCCATTTAAGCCATATGTGTGATTATAGCGTCCCTGATCAGTCTCTACTGGTCATTAATACCAGTAATTTGGCTGATTTAGAGGCGCTGGGATGTTCTAGAGTCCTGCCTTTCCTTCCACGAGTGGGGAGAAAAGCTTGGGTTCGGAGATCTTGAGTGAATGATTTTTTTATTTTTTTTTAGATATTATATAGAAGCATATATGTATGTGACTAGTTATTTTTATTAGTTTAGTTTAGTTAATATACATTCACATTTAGTATTATTTTTTTTAATTTATTGTTGATATAGCGTGAATATGCTCTCTGAACACTATTATAAATGTCCTTATTTCTGACAGATTGTAATAAACGTGTTTTAAAAAAAGAGGGCCTAACGTAAATAAATAATAATTTTACGTTTCTAATTGTTTTATAAAATTCAAATGTTTTCATTTTTAACTATAATTTTAAATTTTTACTTTCACGTACGTATATATGTAATATATAGTAAGGGTAAGTATTGCGATCGAGAAAATTTTTGAATCTGAGTTTCCAACGGAAATACACGTTTTGAGGTACCCTGAGTCGAAATAACCAAGTCCCGAAAAATGGTCTGTGTGTCTGTGTGTTCGTATGTTAGCAGTCTAGCTCAAAAACGAAAAGTCCTTAGATGTGACAGCAACTTTTTCCTCAAAATCGGCTAAACGGAAGTGCCACTTTATATCAACGCTGAAACACATTTTTTTTCTGTATAGTTTTAATGTATTTTTCTCTCATTTTATTATATGAGCTATATATTTTTTAAAACTATTTAGTTATTGAAGAATTGTTATTCATTTATTTTTCTAACTTTAAATTGGTCTATAGTTAATAGCATTATGTATTGTTACGGGTGTCTTTTGTACAAGGCTTCCAATTGTAAAAAATGTTTTTATAGTATATATGGGTCACTAACCCGATCTGAAAACAAAAACTCCATAAATGAATGCCTCCGCTTCCATAAACAAATTTAATGTTCAATTATGATATTAATTGTTTCCTACTGACGGAATTCGCATCAATTTTCTTTCCTGATGATCGCACACATGGAAAGTATAGAATTCTTAGAAACGCACAACCATATTTTCCTTGACACGTCTATGTATTTGGAATATATCTTTTTTGAAAAATTTTTATTTTCATTTTTATTTTTTTTAAAGTTATTTATTGAAAAATATTACAATCTGTCTCTAGGACATTTATAATAGAGTTCACAGATCACATTCACACTCTATGTACAATAAATAAAATAAATTATACAGAAAAATAATATATATACAATAAATAAGAATAAAATAACCTAAAAATAAATAAATAAAAAGAATACATTCACACCTATATACAATATAAAATTGAGAAATTAATTATGTTAATTTCTAATTTATCGTTATGCAGGGATGAATGCATTAAATTTCACAATAAGTACAAATTTAAGTTAAATGATTTAAGTTCAGAAAATTAATATTTAATCTATTGTGGCATTCCCTTCTAAATATGTCGGGGATATTACCATAATGATTTTGCTTTACCTCGGTTCTTTGGTATATGATTGTAATTCAGAGGTGCCTATAGGAGGATATCTTGACGCAATTTGAGCCATCATAATTTTTTTTTGGGGAGGGGGGAGGGAGAGGAGGGAGGGCAAATTTTGACGGGGTTTTGAATTTTTGAGTGGAACACATTTCGAAATGAAAGCTATGAATTTTCGAAATGAAAAGTTTCAAACCATGAGACAAGAGAAAAGCATAGAACAGAAAAGTGAAAGGGCAATTTCATATGACCCATGGTTTTTTAAATTCTACTTTAGCTAGCACTGTTTTTAAGACGAGGACAGCAATAAAATATCTTAGGAGAAGAGGAGGGTATACACCATCAAGTTTGGGAGGGGAGGGGACACCCCTGCTGTAAGTACACTGTATCTATTACATAAAGTTGAACTAAAAATGACTAAAAGGACCATGTTTAGTTTATTACAGAATAAAATATGATGCATTTAACTGATTACTATATTTTAAATTACATTATAATGCAGATTGTATTGAATAAAAATATCACATTTGTATTTGAATTAGGTTGGTTGGTGGATGATTTTAATTGATTTTATTTGAGGTGGTTGGGTCTTCATAGTTCTCCCTCCTGCCGGACAGTATAAGTTTTCTGCTCCATGGTCTTCTGTTGCAAAAACAAAAGAAAAACTTTTCAAACCTCCATTGCTTGATCCAGCTCACATCTCATACATGACAGAAATTCATTCCTGTTTGAGCTTATCTCCTCTGCTTGTCTAGACATTAGAGATTATCTCTGTTTCAACAAATATTCCAAGTGTTGGAAGCAGTTTTCTTCATATTTAAATACAATAAAATGAGAAGTTCTCGGGTTAAAAACCCCTTACCTCCGACACTGAGACGCAAATTTATTTTATTGTCTATAACTTCGATTATCATTAGACAGGATGGCAAATCGAGTTGACTTGTGGTGGAAAGCACTATGCGTTGGCCGACAACCTGATAAGCGATGATTTAGATACGAAAATAGTTATGAGTTCAAATCCTGATGACTGGTGGAAATTTTAACTCGGCATGATTCCCTCCCCTCTCCCCCGTACCGAAAAAAAACAGGTTGGTTATCAGGTTGCCGCATAACGAGCGGTACTGTGCACACGCATTAGCCCGCTCGGCCACCCAGCCCTCCCAGGAAGCTTTTTATGTTCCCTAAACAATCACTTACACAACAAGTAAAGCGTATATCTTCTTGGAATGAAGGATAGATATACCTACTCCATGGAGAAACCTCTGCTCGTCACACTCACAATCAGTTGTTCTCTTCTCTCCTTGGATGTGTTTACGTCCGATTTTGTTTTGCCATCTTTGGGCTAATATTCTTGAATCCATCATAATCTATCTCAGTGATGATATATCAGACGGCACAGAAAATGTATATTATTAATTATTGATTATATTTAAAAATACAATACTTTACCTTTACTCTTACAGTTACGAAACAGCACTTGCCGGAGTTGCAACAAGCTGAGCTACCATCACCAGCGGCCAATGGAAGGTGCTGTTCCACTTTCTACCAGGTCACCAGTCCATTGATCTTCGTTCTTCGACTTTTTGGAGGATTCCCATATACTGTTCGCAAAGGTAACAGTCAATATACAGATTGATCTATTGTGAAAAATGAACTATAAAAACGTTTAACGTTAAAAGTATTCAAAGTATTGTATCTTTCCGGGTCCACCAATTTAACAGATATTGCATAAAAATTTCATTTCAATAAAAATAAAATTATAATCATAATTATTATAAATAAATTATAATTTTAAAGAAAAAAAAATTAATAAAGATATAAATATTACAGTACCTAATATTTGTTACTATCTTTTGAGGAATGAACTTTTTTAAGATATCATACTTTCTAATTTTTTAATACTTTTTTGCCGGTTCTAAGACGGTAAAATAAAAGTCAGGCTTGATTTGTAGGTACTTTATATAATAATGAATTCAAATCAATACCTCGCAAGTCCAAATTTTGCATCATCTACTGTATCACATTAATATAGATATTTTAATATAGATGTTTCCAAAAGCTATAAGACTCGATTCAACTTCTAAACAAAATTATAACAGTTGTTTCAATGTCAAGATTTCAAATAAATCAGTTACAATGCCTTACAAGTTGGAATAAGATGATGATTTTATGATACGAGGAACTTATTGGAATCCTTCGAGTAGCATAAACAGAATAGTTAAATAATAATTATGTATAAATGTATCTGCTTTCAAGAGATGTCAATAAGTTATTTTGTTTTCAGATCGACTTCACGTCACTCTATGTTCTTGGTGGGTTTATTACTCGCTAGTAGTAATGATATTCCAGAATGTGCTTCTTTTTTTGACAACGCATCATATATATTTTGGAGATGACAATGCTTTTGACGCTAAGCTATTCGACATCATCAGTATAATAATTATGATATATCAGGCTTCTGGCCCTCTCACATTTTGGTTCGAATTACCTGCCATTACCAGGTACTATACTAAGTGGCACACATTCGAGGTAAAAGTACAAATGAATGAGTTACTGTTAATACTTCTGACACGACAATGATTAAAACTATATTTTGTACTTAGAATGATCTTCACCTGTGCAACATTAAATTGGACGGACGACTGAAGAAGTGGGTGTTTCTATCTATGCTTCCTTCAATACCATATGTATTCATAGCGGCTTACTTTCAATCAGTGATCCACGGTAACCTCCTGCATATGCCTTCTTTGGTCTTCCTTCACATCCACAATGCCTTACACGTGTCATTTTGGTTTATTAGTGGATTATTCATCCATTCAACAGCTTTCAGGATCATGGTGCGAATAAAGAAAGTAGCAGAGGACCGAGACCCCGTTGAAATCGCTGCTTGCCGCAGGATCTGGCTCAGCCTGGCCGAGTTGACCGCTGACCTGGGGAACGCACTTGGACCGACACTGATGGAGGTTTTACTCTTCTCGAGTACTGTCCTTATTGTTGGATGCTACTTCGTAATGTTCTTCTTCCGTTCGCCAGGCCAGGAAGGTACGGAACAACAGCAAGCTGAGATTACTGGAAGGATATTTTTCATCTTTTGGTCGTTTTCAATTATAGTATTTCTCTGTGAATTTGGTCAACGGTGTACAAATGCTGTAAGTAGTGTACATCTAACATATTTACATTATCTCACGAAATATTATATACAGTCGTGGTAATATAAATTGCATCACCAATTTCATCTTATTTTTATGTTGATAATGTTCAATGTATGCAATTCAAAGAAATTGAATTTTTTTTTTCTTTACTTATTTAGGTTACAAGAAAACATTAACAAGGTTTCACAGTTTAGTTTTAACTAATGCCAGGATAGAAAACTGTAATTATGACCAATTTAAAAAAACTGGCCTCTTCAGGAGATATTAACTTTGTGACGTTGTATGAAGTGAAGGAAATTTCACGGGGTATAGTGACGAAGATAGGGTACCACTAATCAACTGTAGTCATAGTTTTGAGAGAAAAATTTGCAAAGGGACAAGAAAAAAACAAACGACTAACCTCTTAATGGTGCGATTGTGTCTAGAATATCGTTTCAAAACTATCGAAGAAATATCCGGAGATCTTGCAGATAGCAATCTGGTAATTGTTTTTTGGGGGGTCCTCTCCTTCCTCGCCTTTAAAGCTATACAGGGTTTTCTCGGGCCAGGGAGTGTGGGTGAGGATTTAAAAGTCCCTCGGCACTGGGACGCGAACTAGTGAGTATATTTTATCATTGTATCATAAATCAGGTTGTCGAGCAACGGCGGTGCTGTGCACACACATTAGCCCGTTCGGCCACACCGCCACCGCAATCTGGTAAATAAAATGAAATTACTGGGTAATGCAATATCTTTGACTGCGACTGTATGTATATACATATATTGACACACTCCCTAGTCTGCCTTATCAATTTTATTTATTAATTAAAAATGATCTATTCTCTTTACATGGTCTTGTCTATGGGTATGATATTCTCTAAAGGTGAGAACCAATATTCAAACTAAAATACACTAATTGGGAAGACGATGAAGCTGTAATAAAATATATTATATTAATTAAATATTTAGGATTGACCAGGATCACAGGCTGACCTACGGGGGGAGGGAGGGAAGATGGTCTTTCGGGATACGACCTCTCCCTTCTCCCAAAATGGTAAAATTTAATCATGTTTTACGGAAGAAATATTAAAATATTATCTATTAAACTATTATTGTTCGTGTAATTACATTTAATAGGATTTCAAGAATCTTTTTTATTTATTTGTTTATTGAGTATTACAACAATCTGTCACTTGGACATTAGTCATAGTGAAGTAGGATAACATTCACACTACATGTATACAAAATATAAAATAAATATAAGCAAAATAACAATAAATAATAATAATAAAGTATATATAATAAATAAAATAAAATAACCTAAAAATAAGAAAATTAAAACTAAGCAAAAAACACATGTATACCTACGTACACTAGTTACAATCAGGCGAAGGAATCCCGAGGAAGGCTTCTCCCTCCAACAATTGATGGAAATGCTGGACTCCAGGAGAACCCTGCGCTACTCTCTCAACCGCATCACTGGTACTAAAGCTAGCAGAGCTTGATGAGAGCACTTTAGCCACGTACACTGTTGTCTCGTGGAGAATCTGGCCATTGCCAGTACTGCAATATTTTTAATTTACAAAAGGTCTCGAGGCCACTACCGTTTCAAACTTCTTGGAAGTTTATAGGGATGGATGGTGCTTTATAGAGATAGTGCAAGAGGATTTGGATGATACGTAAGGTTCTGGTGAAATTTGGAGAATTTTTCAGGGATAATGTCTAGGACAAATGGGACGTTGAGGTCATGATGTAGGTTTTTGTTGGTTACATAAAAAGGAGCATCGGCTATTGTTCGAAGAACTTTTGACTGAAAGTATTAGATGCGTTTGATTTCAAAACATTTTGCTGTTCCCTACAGTTCTAGTCCGTTAGTCCGTAATTCCTAGTCCGTTAGTCCTATAGGTTTTAGCATTGTCTTGTAGATCAGTAACTTATTTTCAATGGAAAGTTTAGATTTTCTGTTTATTAGTGGGTATAGTTGGCCGTATCGTCGGTTTAGTCCCTGTCTTTTAAGTCTAGTATGAGGGTTCCACGTCAGTCGGCGGTTTCAAGCGTCAGTCAAGCTACCGGACTGTACCTGAGAAAGGAAGCTGGATGGTGTTAAAAAAAAACTGGTGGATAGGATTTACGAAAAAGGGTGAAGGTTATGTGTTTACATTTATATTCGTTTATCTTAATGCGTCATTTCTTACACCAATGTTCAATCAGAGAGAGGTGCATTTGTAGTTTTAATGACGCTGTTTTAGGATCTGAGTTGGTTGAAAGGATAGCGGTATCATCAGCGAATATTGACAGAAGGGTATCAGGATGGCAGAAATATCTGCGGTGAAAAGAATGTAAAGGATGAGATCGAAGACGCTGCCTTGCGGAACTCCCGCCTCAATTTAATGATAGTCGGGGAATTCAGTACTACAGCGAACTTAAAAGGTGCGGTCAGAGAGGTAGGATCGAAGTGTTAGATATAAGCTCTGTGGTAGATGGAATTTAAGCTTGAAGAGCAGTCCAGCGTGCCATACCCGGTCAAAAGCCTGTGGTATATCCAGAAATGCACCCGAACAATATTTCTTATTTTCTAGGGCTGAGGATATATGGTCGACATCTCAGAGTCTTTGGTGGACAGTGGAATGTTGGGAACGAAATCCGAATTTTATGGGATTCTATTCTGGGTTTTCATTAGGATCTTTTCAGAAATTTTTGATACGATTGGGAGTAGGCTAACTGGTCAATAAGATGATCTATTGTTGGAAGATTTCCCTGGTTTCTGTAAAAGGACGGTGGAATGTTTCCATAGGAGAGGAAAGTGGATAATTCTTAAGATGCAATTATAAATATATGTAAGGAATATGTTAGCTTTGAGTGGAAGTTGTCGAAGGATCTGTGTTATTGGGAGGTCGTATTTAGGAGGTTTACGGAGAGAAAGTTTTTGTAAGTGATGTTTGACCTCAGATGGACTAACTGCTTTAAGTGGTAAGGAGATTGCAATCGGTGAAGAGAGGAATTCTTCTACTTTTGCGGTATGGATTGGATGGGATTCTGGATAAGGAGTGAATGAACTGGAGGGGTGTCTAGCGAATTCCTCAGTTTTGTCTTCATCAGATGCTGTCCAGGAGTCATCGCATCGACGAAGGGGTGGGAAATGTAATGGGATTTTAGGATTTTTTCAGATGGAATTGTCGGGAACAGAGAGAGAAGTAAGGTAGGTATCAAAGGATTGAGATCTGAAGGATGATAATTCTTGCTTTAATAGTTTACCATAATCATTGTAGGAGCGGCGATCGATGGGTTGTTTCGTACGTTGCCATAATGATCTGGCACGGCGCTTGGTGTGGATTAGGTCTATCAGGTGTTTGAATAAACTATTATTCTTAGGGGTTTTGAGGAATGATTTAGAGAGGAATCTGTCCATACTGATTGTTGAATGGTGGTGGTGAAGGAATGTATGCCATTGTCAAGATCTTCTGGAGTTTTCAACGTTATTCTGAAGTCAATTTTATTGTAAATGATTTGATGAAACAGTTACCAGTTAACTGGGCCTCTGATGAAGGACGGTGGAGAGGGCTTAGGAATAGGAGCTAGGGATAATTGGAGTACTAATGGACTGTGATCTGAGGAAAGTTCGTCAAGTCGGGTAAGGAAATGATTGAGGAGACCTAAACCACTATGGATAAAAAAATCTAGGATATCAGGATTGCGGTTAGAATCAGTTGGTCAGTAGGTAGGTGAATTTGGAAGAATCACTTAAACACCATTTCATATAGGTGATTAATAATTTTTTTTTTCCCAAAGTGATTGTCATTATATATATGTGGAAAAAATACAAAACATAAAAATAGGCTGAAGCCTAAAAAAAAAGCATAAATTTAAACCAACTCTGAATTATTTACTCATCTTACTAATTTTTCACTTTTCCCCCCTAAATCCCGCCACTAGAATCTTGAAATTTTCTCGAAACCTCAAAAAATCAATAATCTGTACACAAGATATAAGAAAAGGCAATAAAAAGCCGGAAAACCTTATCACCTGATATCGTTTAACTTCATATTAAATTAATCAAATTCTTGAGAAGGAATTAGTCGAGGGTGCGGTCAAAAAAATAAAAAAAATTAAAATATATAAATAATTTTAATTTTTGCCGACGTTTCGACCCACTTTGCAGGTCGTCTTCAGGGCTACAAAAGATACAAACATGTTGAAAAAAAAAATAAAATAAAAAATAAATATAAGTATATATAAATAACGAAGAAGTTGTCAGATACAGAAATAAAAGATAAAGAAAATAAATACATGATAAGAAAATAGATAAAAGAAAATAAATACATGAATGTTAACGAATAAATGAATGTTAACGAATAAATTGATTGAAAATTGAATAACTATTGTTACAGTAAAGTTAAAATATGGATAAGATAACATAATAATAAGATATCAGTGGATAACAAGCAAGTGGAGGTTACCTTTAATTGTAAATAAACAGATAACGGGACCAAAGGTTAAGAAGTGAAGAAATTGAAAGATTAATAGGGTAACATTAGTGTAATATTGTTGGGATAGATTATTAAGTATAAATAACTCTATAAGAAAACAATAATTTTAAAAGAATACTTTAAAATGTAAGAATAAATGTAAAAACAAGGTTATGATGATAAAGAAACAAAAAACAGGTTGTACTATATATAGATGACAATTGACATTTAGTTTTTTGAAAGCGGTAATGGAATGGTAGGCTATATGAAGATAATAATAAGGTGTATAGTTGAAGGATAGGTGTGTTAAGAAAGGAATCTCAATAAAAGTCAAAACATACCGTTGGATGTGGCACTGCGGGAGGCGGTTGAAACACTGGCAGTGTCAAAAACTCTAGTTAGCAGTGTCAAAAAAAAAGTTCTAGTAAAAATAACCATATATATA